CGCCTCGGTCATAGCAACATCTACACCCGGAGTCGAACCGTGACATAATAGTCACTTCAGACCAACTTATACTACTGTGTCCAAATTCCCTCATTTCACAGTCATCAATTTCTGCGATCTAGGTTGGTTCACCTTTATTTCCACAACTACTATAAGTAGTATCGGAATCTGATCATTTTGCTTAGATTGGTCTTGTCAGTCTAGCGACACTTTTGTGCGTCAATGTTCGCATACAAGGCATATTTCATTCTCTCAGACGGAACGCACAATGCAACGGAGCCTGGACCGATTTCGCTTCCGACCGCCCATCGGCCAGCCAGCCAGCCAGCCACCCAGCCAGCCGGCCAGCCAGCCAATCAGCCGACCAGCAGTCTGGAGAAATGTTAAAATGGGGCTGCTTTGGGAGAACAGTTCAAATTGCGCCTGCCGATCGATACGCAGCTTCAGTCGACTCACAGTCCTGGCCAGGAAAGTTGCCGGAAGGAGAATGCCCAAGTTGTGCCGAGACGAAATGTTGTGGCCTCGTCTTGGCCGAGTTTGAGTCGGCCTCGTCTGTTGCGCTCGCCTTGGCCACCGAGTCCTGACGCCGGGTGGACTGTAGCCGGACTCGCATGCGTCAGTCTCTAGTCGTCACTTGTGCACTATTTGTAAGCCTGCATCTTTTTTGCTCTATCCTTTTCTGGCCTGACAACTGGACAGTGGCGAGCTCGGTTGTTGCCGCCTGGTCGGTTGAAAATGGACGCTGAAGGCAATGAAATCGGCAAACTGTTCGTCGGCGGCCTGTCGCAGGCGACAAATGACGAAAGTCTGCGAAAGTACTTTTCGCGATTCGGCGAAGTGGAAGAGGCGCTGGTGATGATGGACAACAAGACGGGCCGATCGAGAGGTTTCGGCTACGTCAAATTTGTCAATCTCGACTCGGCCCTCTTGGCGTTGACCAAGAAGCCGCATGTCATCGACAAAAAAGAGGTGGACGCCAAACAGTGCAACGCCAACATGAAAGGCAGAAATCGGCGAAGTCTGAAAATTTTCGTCGGCGGCCTCGGCTTGGACCAGGACGCCGAGTCGATCCGCCTCTTCTTCTCGCAATACGGCACCGTGACCGACGTCAACTTGATGATGGACGCCAACCGACAACGACATCGTGGCTTTGCGTTTGTCGGCTTCGAGGAGGAGACGACAGTTCGTCGTCTCATCCACCAACACTTTGTACAGATCGGCAACAAACAGGTCGAGATCAAAGCCATGGAACCGCCCATCTTCGGCCGACGACTCTTCTCCGCCGGCCTCGGCAACGCTCCTCTCACCGCCGGCCTGTCGAGTGTGATGGCCAGCGCCGCAGCGCCGATGGCCGCGGCCGCCAGTCTCGACTTGCCGCCTCCCGGACCCCCGGGACCCTCGGGTCCAATGGGCCTTCGCACAGCCTCTCTCGGGGCACCGCTCACCTCGGCACCGTCTGTCGGCATCGACTACGCCACGTCGGTCGGTGACCTGTTCGTCGGCACACCCGACCCCGCCACCTGCTACCTCAGCCCGGCACCTGCGCAACCTCTCGTCTCGGGCGCCGATCGCAACGGCCTTGCCGTCTCCGCTCTGTTGGCGACTGAGTTGTCGCCGGGCGGCGAGCAACAGTTGCCGTCCGCCTCACACGCCCTACACCCGACCGGACTGCCTTTCGCCTACTCTCTCGTCTACAGCCTACACCAACCAGCGCCCTACCCCCTCCTCGCCTCCGGCGCGCCGCCCCACGCCA